TGAGGTACACCAGGTTGCATTCTCACTTACTACTCTCATGTCATTCAAGTAAGATGAACTTTTAAGCCTCCTGCATCAGTTGTAATTTCACATCTCTTGCTTATTTAATCAGAATACCAACTTCCTTGTGATTCCCAAGCACTGAAATACCAGCAGCGTACAAACAGCAGCTTTCTGTTCTTTATAATAGCCTGGGTCCGTTATTGAATAGCAGCATCGATATTCAACTCAGCTACTGGTCCCAGCTTCCGCAGTCTGCGTTACTATGGGATACCGCATTAATAGTCAAGTCCCTGTGCCATTTTCATTTTCATTTGATTCTTTTTGAAGTCCTGTGCAGATTAATCTTTCTGTCAGCAGTTAAAGAAGTATTTGCATACTTTATAGCTAATCGCAATCTATTAAAAAAAATAAAAAGTTTAGATTGTACCCTTGTGTTTGCAGTTCCAGGGGATTTGGCTGTGATCCACACAGAGCTGTAGAGGGATGTGCTCTGTCGTCGGGCCAAGTGCACGTTAGTAGGCTAAGCGAGGCCATGTACAAAAAGCACAGCGTATTTGCTGTACAAGTTTAGACTAGCAGCTGCCACCTAGTCCTCTCCAATATGCTACAGTTGACATTGCCAAAATCCTTCATTGTGTGTTTGCCTCTAAATAGTTTCTATCATTTAATTCATGCCTTGTTCTCTGTAAATTTCTATTTTATGTTGCTTCAGCTGTTATTTTAGAACTTCATCAGTTAGCCTTTATCTGTTTCTTATTCTGCCCACTTTGCTCTGTCTGTTACTATCATGTTTATTAATACTGTTTTTTTTTTTTTGGGAAAGTACAAACTTTACCTGGTAATGGCTCTAAAACAGTTAGGGGAATACCAACATGATTACTGCTTTATCAGACATCAGAGCTGTCACACAGAGAAAAGGGGGATCATCAGACTAATCATTAATATTGTTTGTAGGTCACAGTATTGCACTGTTTGACCAACAGAATTTCCCTCATCCAACAGTAGATTCATGCTTTTAGTAGTTTCTTTCAACACGCTTTCTAATAAGCTGTTTAAACTTCTTCTTGGTCTTATGGATATATTTTTTAACCATTTCTGGTAAGAAAAAAGTAGGATTTAGTAAGTTTTTATCAAATAATATGCATTCTGTATTTGCATGACCCTCAACAGAGAGCAGAGAGGACTGCTTTTTAAAAACAGAAACCTTTGGTGCACAGCTCTGCTATGAGCATGGTGTGACTTTAGTGCTTTGTGAAAACAACTCTGTGTACAGTATCTTTGACTGGTTTTATTTTAATGATTTTACTGTTAACCTGTTTTTGTCACTGTTACACACTTTCTCTGGAGCTGTGTTGGCACACCTGTGGTGAGCCTGTGGTTAACCTTTCATCAAACAGACTTTTAGCCTCCTGCTCAAGCTTGAATATATCTCTGAGCGCTAAGCTCGTGGGTTCTATGGTCGTAATTTTTAGAGTATGTACAATACAGTGTCTATTTGAATTTGCACTGCTTCCTCAGTTGACACTAATACTTCACTGTCACAGTGTAGGAACTATTCATAGTGGTTAAGGATTACCTCATCTAATTTGTAAACCTGACTATATCAAAGACATGTTCATCTGATTTTAAATCCCTTGAGCTCATAAATAATATGAGAGAAATGAACAATTCTGTACTTTGTCTGTTTTCTCTTGTAGCACTTCCATGATGGGCGTAAGGCACAGCAGCACATTGAAAGCTCGTGGAAACAGCTGGAAGCAGTAAGTGAACCTATTTACGTGCAGTTCCACAGTTGTGCACTAGTTGCAACAAATACATACTGAGCTTGCATCATTTGCAACTATAACATTATGAAATTATAAAT